ACTCGCTGAACTGCAACTCAATTTATAACATTTGCTTTTATCTGGATTTTTGGTTGATATTCTGTCTCTATCATTTAAAATACACCTATGATAAACATTATAGACCTTTCATTGCTTTGTAAGTGGACAAACTTACAAAATCTGTGGAGGACCAAATAATTATTTCCCCCACTGCATATATATACAGTATGTATATCTATAGATATATCTATAGATATATCTATAGATATATCTGTAGATATATCTATATATATAAAACATTTTATTTTTTTACATATTTTCCTAATGTATTAAGGTCAAGAGTAGAAGATGTAGATGTAAAAAAAATCTGCTGTAAAAAGCCTATGGTTTGCACAGCTCCATATTATATTACTATAATTTATACACAATATTGAATAACTCAGCCCTTATCAGACAGCTTTGTCTGCAGATTCCTTTAGACAAAACCACCAATGCGGTTGCTACTGTTGTCTCTTTTGATAACCAATAATGCTTTGGAAACTCATTGTCTTATTAAATGGTTATTTTAAAACAAGGATTGTATAAAAAGCCAGATACTCAAAACAAAAATAATTCCTGAAAAACATTTTAATTTCCTTTCAAGTAATAAACAGTCAGTGCTTCACTTTGCCTTTCCAAAAACAAACAAACAAACAAACAAACAAACAAACACTGCATTCAACACTATTTGATATTAGTATGGTACTAATGAGGGCAACCCTCCTTTTGATACAGGAACACTAAATCAGAACTCCAGCCAAAAATAAGATAAAAAACCCCTTTTGCTGTAATGTTCACCTTCAACCTAGATATTTACCCTGGAGTACTTTTTTCTGGCACTAGATATCCTCAGTCTGATGGCCAACATCAGACTGTGACTAGACAGTGAAAAGAAAAGCAGCACAGTGATGAGCTCATCTCCCTGTAACTCTGCTTTCTCTTCCTCCAGCACATAAGATGATTGGCTCCTTGTACTGATACTTGCACTCACACTCCAACCTTGCAGTTCAGGACCTGCAGGAGGCTGACAAGGGTTAAGGGTTGCAAGGGTTAAGTGCTCGTTTTTGTCTAGGGATACAAAAAAGTTATACCCACCTAAACCTTGCTGCCGGCTGGCTGTTAGACCGATCATTGCAATCTCGCTTCCCCTCCACTCCAGCGGTCTAAGGTCCTGTGAGTCATCACGTCCTATACACTGTATGCCAAGGGACATTCCATCGCTGGAGCAGAGGAGGAGACAGGCTGCATGGACCGTCTAACAGCCTGCTGGCTGTGTGGTTCAGGTTAGTATAACTTTTTATTTTCAACACTATACAAAAACGAGCACTTAGCCATTGCAGTGCGGGGATAGTCCCACTGCAAGGGTTAGGAATAATTCTGGCTGGAGTTTTATTTTCTATTAGACTGCCCACTGATTCTGCCCTCTTTACCAACTCAGAATCCCATTGACATTAGGTACGGCAATGAAGTATATGGATAGGACAGATTGAATTAAAGTAAAAAATTATGTATGTGTGGTTTTGATATATTGTCAGCATAATATGTTGATTTATGGTGATAATTCCACTGTAAGTATATTTTGACAGTGAATAGTGGTTATACGCTGTGTTGTAGTTTCCAGAAGAGAAAGCACATTAGCTTCTCACTTGGCGTTGTATTACAAAATGTCGAAAATTGCATTCTTTAACAGGGAGTCTGATATTGTTTAATGCATTTATAGAAAAAAACATCTATTCTACTGAAGACACAACTGAGAAATAAAGATGCTTGATTTAAAATATAGAAAGCATTCTTCCACTTAAGAGGTGAAGCATAAAGCCGGCATAATTTAGAGGTGCTGATTCCTCAATGTCACATCACGGAAAGGCTGACCTACCAGGAACACTAAATGAAAAACAAACAAGAAAAAAGCAGCACATGGAAAACCTTGTTGACTGCACAAGTCAATATGTTCAGATGTATGGTGAAGCGAAGAGCGGAACACTAGCAAATTTCATGCTCGAGAAGAGGAATAGCTTCCCTTTCCGACTAACTTTCCAAACTACCATAAATACAACTGCTATTTTAATGCAAAATGCAATGGTTCTCTTCTGAGATGAAAGAAATGTCAAATCTGAATATTAAAGACACTTTAAACCAAAGCTCCATTACCTTTGTAGACCCCTAAACCACATTTAGCTGTGTAGTGGTAATTCACAAATAATGTTTTTTAAAAGGTGGCAGCATATAGCAAGCTTTATGTGCATCTTAGCACTGTATTTGCACTTGTGAATAAATTGGAGCAATGTCACACTGGCACCCCAGTAAATCTCTATGCAGGGGCTGCACATTGTACATTCCAACTGTAAAAAGAGACTTTAGTCACTTTTTAAATATTATGTCTATTTCGTTACTACTCAACATCAATCTAAAGTGTTTCTGTTGATCTCCCAAAGAAATTGTGTGAATTAAAAATAAAGGCCTTTTAACCCAACCATTTCATACAATGGGTGCCATCAGACACAGAATAATAAATAATGTAGTGTTGCACCACTATCAGTTGCATGGCACAGCTCTTCAACAACCTCCTGCCTGATGTAGTCAAGCAGTCTCGTACCAGGAAAATGCCAGGAAAGTTTTGATGCACTGTCATCAGACGCAGCATTGCACATTTTTAAAAAGAGCCGTTGGTCACTTCTTAGAAGTACACCACTTTTAAAAGCAAATGCTACCAACGGATTTGCTAATTTTTTGGAACATCGTGGCAAAGCTGTTCAAGTCAATGGAAAATGTTTAAAAAATATTTTGTAGATACATAACACCTTTTTAAAGTTCCTGATGAATGTTGAATTCTATTAATATTGCACCAAGTTGCACAAGCTTCACTCACTACTTTTTCTCAAATTTGATGTGGAACAAATGGATCACATGAAAGTTTAGGACTGATGTGAGATGCAGGTGGCAGATGAGTCAATCTGGTATTTCAGTTGAGATCATGTGGCATAACAAACTTGTATGGCTGAAAGATGATACATCTTTGAACTAAAACTATGAAACAATAACGCTCCGCTGCTTATTCACTTAGCTATAGGTAACAAATGCAGAGCTTCACCCTTGCACAACAAGGGAAATTCTTAATGTATAAAGTGCATTTATTCAGATGTTTCCCAGTCATTCAAAGCATGCTTGCTACTGTACTATATGAATGTGTCATGTTATAACTACTAGCTAGTAGTTACACCTACATCAGTATTAGTCAGAATATACTTTTCACTCCTTGCTAAATTTTGCCAAACTGTAGAAAAACCACCTACATTTGGGTGGCATATCCCTATATGTTTATCTACAAGGACCACTGAGGTCATGCATGAACGGGATATCCTAAAATATTGAATGTGAAAATGGCTCAATGTAGCTTAATGTGTAAAAAAGTACCTTATTCTCAATCAGTTGCCTTGAAACTTTGCACGACCTAAGCTTTCAACTTCCCAAACCTATCAAAGAAGTCTTATGGATATTGGTTTGCCACAAGGCAAATGATTGACATTAAGCTTGTTTTTTGGGAAGCTTAAATGTGGCTTAACTTGCAAACAAGAACTTAGGTTGGGAACAATAGCTAGTTTGCTATTGGCTATTGCAAATTGAAACAGCCAATAGGAATCTAGCATTCCTATGGCCAAAATGTATTTTTATTTTTTTCTATAAAAAAACGAAAAAGCAGTGTTTCTCTTCTTGGCGGCCGGGAGCGGGAGACTCCCGGAGCGCCCAGGAGAGTGTTTTTCTTTTCTTTTTTTTGGACGGCAGCAGAACCACCGGACAACAGAAAACAGTTGGGCAGAGCTAGCTGTCACTGCTAGCTCCGCACAATCGTTTTCTATTTATTTTTTTCTACTTTTTTAACTCTTTTTCTGTTCTGCTCTGTAGACTCCCGGAGCGCCCAGGAGAGTGTTTTTCTTTTCTTTTTTTTGGACGGCAGCAGAACCACCGGACAACAGAAAACAGTTGGGCAGAGCTAGCTGTCACTGCTAGCTCCGCACAATCGTTTTCTATTTATTTTTTTCTACTTTTTTAACTATTTTTCTGTTCTGCTCGGTCCCTCTGAGGGACCGAGCAGGACAGCCTAGCCGAATGCTGCTCAGCGGCATTCGGCTATTCACTTACTGCTGTTCGGCATCTATAAGAATAGACCGAACAGCAGCGAGTAGCCTGCCGTAGGTTCGGCTTAGCCTCCTTCTGCACTTCGGATCGGCCAAAAATGCTCTGCATGTTCGGCCGACCCGAATCCACCCGATGTACGGCTGATTTCAGCCGATATACGGCTGAAATCAGCAATACCAGCCTGAAGTGAATAGCCGAACAGCGTTGGGCTCACTTCGCTTTAGGCCGGTCATTCATTTGGCTGCCTACGGCAGCTTAGTGAATAGACCCCTTAGATGTTAATCAATTTCCCCGAAACTTCACACAATACAAGACTCTATCTATGCAAACATATTCTGAAAATGTCAGGTTGTTTGTTAACAATTTATTTTACATTTAAGAGGTTATTCACTAAGCTGCCGAAGGATGTAGCTTAAAATTCGGATAATCCTTCAGCTTGCTTCGGTAGCAGAAACCCTTCGGTTCAGCCGAATCAATGGGCTGCTGTAGACACTATTCACAATAGCTTGTACAGCAGCCGAAAGCAGCTGAAGTAAACAGCAGAGCTGAACATGCTTTGGTTCAGCACAGGTAAACACACAGCCGGAACAGGGAGAACGGTCCGCCGAAGCGGAACAAATCTCCTGCAAGTTGTACAAAAATAGAATGAATAATAATAATAATAATCCCCCCTAAAATACCATACCAGACCCTTAATCCGAGCAGTCGCCTTAATCCTTGAAATGCAAGGAGTACTGAGGCAGAAAGGGAAGGGTTCCAATGTGCCTTAGTCTTAAAACTGAAAATGGATTTCAGTGTAACCCTGGTTGTTCCTCTCTGATTCGCCTAATAAGGCTGAATTAAAGTAACTTAAACAATCTTACCGAGTAATTTCTCACTCTTCGCATTTTGTTGTGATCCTGCATTGGTGGAGAGATCTTCAGGCATAGGCATGGGTTCATCCGTGTCATCCAAGCTATCACTTAAGGTAGGACTTGGGGGATTTCCTGTTAAGCAAGAAGTCAAATTATAAAATTTCAAAATGTATTGTTTATTTGATAACCAGGAACATTGACGGTTATTGTCGGTATACATTTCTACCATGGAAGTCAACCGCAAAAAAAAACAACAACTAAAAAGTAGGGTAATGTGTTTCTGCCATTTGTAGAAAATACCTTGCTATGTATTAATGATTCCTTTCATTATACCCTTATAGAGACATGAAGAAAACTTGACTACCATGGAGATACAGTATTTGTTAATACTGGTATGAACTGGTTGCTGGGAACAAGTATGTCTTCCGTAATGATGTTTAAGTAATGTGCTTTTATGTATGAATTATGTATGGTGAAAAACAGACATTCATCAAACTGCATCCACACATAATGTGTGCTAATTTATCTCCAAAACAATACACAGTAAACTCTCTGTTATCCAGAATTCAACTAACCAGAACTCTCATCTAGCTGGTTTCATGTTCTACAGCTTAGTCATTGATCCATCCCCAGTCTGAATGAACAGTGAAGAGGCATCACTTCAATAATTATGGTCATCTTTCTGCTCTGTCATCAAGTCAGGACAATTGACCCTTAGGGCTTGTTTACACCATGTCTGGAGCAGATCTACAAATGCAGTGCAGTGCATTTTTAACGCGTTCCGGTGAGTTTTCTTTACTTAGCTTAAAATGGGCTTTCAGGTGCAGTCCTCCAGTGCGTTTGATGCAGACCAGAAAAAATAGTGCATGCAGCATATTTTTTACCCGCAGCGGAACCGACAGCTATGATGTGAACAAAGCCCAGAACCATAGAAATACACTGGGATGCATTTCAGGTGCTGACAAAAACTGTTCTGGTCCGGATCTGGCCCAGACATGGTTTAAGCAAGCCCTAAATGAACTTCAATTAACAGAATTTATAGATCCTAGGCATGTGGGCAACACATCAAATAAAACTCTTACAGGCCCACACAACAGAAAGAATAATATCGGATGGAGCCTGCAGCTCAAAGAGCTGTCTGAAGGACACTACACTTTAAGCTGGAATCAAATGAGGCCTGGGAAACAGTTAACTGATGCTTAAAAGCCCAAGAGGTATTTACAGACCTAGTAAAGTCCTTTTTTTTAGAGACCATCAAGAATGACAAAAGAAAGTAAATCTTTAAAATGGAATCAGTGGCTGAGAGGTAAACCCATACAGCACGATCTAGGCAATGAAGGGAAATCACCTTCAGATGTACTAGAGCCAGACAGAGAGATGGAAGAACAACGTCCTGGTTGAGGTTAAAGGCAGAAACTACTTTAGTTGAGAAAGAAGGCACTAGGCCTTAATACTACCTTATCACACACATCTTGCAGATGAACAGCAATGCAACAATGAATGCAACCTTGTATATGAGAGTGGAAATATCTCTAATAGGTACAAAAGGAGGTCTTTAATGGAATGACAAAACCAAATCATGATCCCAGGAGTCACAGAAGGTTGTACAGCCATGTAAAAGAGATACCCTATACAGAAGTCTTGGCCAAAGTATAGGATGCTAGCGGTTTGTGGAATTAAATCGCAAAGGCTGAGATTTGTCCTTTCATGGTGCTTAGGGTCACATGTTGATCAAAATCTTATGGTTGGGATCTGTCCCACAAAGTATTTCCTGGGGTGACACTTTCTCCACACCATGCAAAGTAAGCCTTCCATGTGCGATGGTAGACCTTAAAGGAGTTAGACTTCATAGCTTTTAAAAGCGCATGCATTGCTGACTCAGAGAAACCCTGGCTCTCAAGGCCTTGGCTTCAACAGACATGCAGTAAAGCTAGCATAGGCCTAGGGTCAGTAAGGGTTGTAGCTGGATTGTTTTACATCAGCTAAGTCCACTCAGCTAAGGTCTGACAGAATGTCATTACAGCTATGGCAGGTTGCTTAGCAGGGCCTGCTAGCGGAAATAAGGATTTGGGAAGGGCATCCAAATGCTTATAAGTTGGTTCTTTAAAAACTGGAGCATCCCCAATAGGTACAGTGAGTGTTTTATTGAAATGTCATATTGCCGGATCCACAGTAGGAAGAGCCCACTTTGTAAGAAAATTCTAACAGAACAGTGAAGAGTGTACCTGAAAAGTTTTATTAGTCTTGGGGCGCCGTTTTGGATCCCAGACTGGTAACAGCACTAGCAATATGGTATGGGTGTTGTGCCAGGCTGGTTGCTGTCCTAGAGGCGATGTGGTATAGAGTCCTGATCCTGGAAGAACTTTACACCACATCACCTCTAGGACAGAACTTTACACCTCATTGCCTCTAGGACCGAACTTTACACCTCATCGCCTCTAGGACAGCAACCAGCCCGGCACAACACCCTCATCGTTGAGACCACATCATAACTAACCTAACAGTGAGTTTAAAAGTCACAATAGTTTTTGTGTTTATTTGAGAAGCATCACCATCCTGTTATCACTTCATTTCCACCTTGGTCCTCTACACCACCACTCCAGAGGATGAATATGGCCCCATCACTCAACAATACCACAACACCATGATTTCCACATTGTTCCCGTGTTGAAGCTACTTGCCCTATTTCAGCTGAGTTATTGCTCTAGGTTGTGGCGCTTCAGTATCCTTTTTGTTTTCCTAGCACACATGTCGGACACCCTGGTCTGTACTTACCAGGAGATGCACTCCAGCGAACAACACCCGAATATCCCCCGAAGAGTACTCTAAACATCGGACTTGTTTTAATAACTTTTATAAGAGAGTTTCAGGGGACAATGATCCAGGTTGGTGTCAGATCCCATGGGAGAGACACTGCCGGATGCCATGGAACTGTTAGTGGATAATAAGCTTGAGCAATCTGATGCTTAGGGACTGCACTCCTTGTGCTTGGGATCCGATATGTTGTACTTTTTTAACAGGAACAACTTATAAGAACACACAAGGGGAAAACCTTGGTTTACTCACAACTAACTGCTTAAGCAAGAGGGAATTGTAGGTGGCAACAAGGGCATGCCAAGTTGTGAATCGTATGTCTCGTGCATATAGGAACAATGGTGGGAAGAAGCTACCTTATGCGAAGGAAAAAAGGGAGGAACAGAGCGGGGAGTATGCATGTGCGGCACTTAAGCTAATGATGCAGAATTTAATTTCTTTAACCCTTTCGCTGCCAAACCCTCAGGACCGCTTTACAACTCAGATGGCCACACCCTTTTTGCAATTTTTCACCTTTTTTATTTTCAACTGCAGCTTTTAGAGCTAATGAAAGACCCCCCCAAACCATATATTTTCTGAAAGCACAGGCCTTGTAGAATAAAAATATGGTGCTACTAATTTTGTAAGCCCTGCGATAATTGCCACAATGTTTATCAAATCAATAATAAACCGATAAAAATGCACAATTAAATTGATTAAAGCACAATAAAAGCGGTATCAGTGCATACAAAAAATACTTTTCCAACTAAATCTAAAAGATAAATCTGTATTAAGTTAATAAATAACAAATATTTGTACATTGTAAATTGCTACTTTTTGCAAACGCTTAAAAAAAATGAACGCAAAACTGTAAATTAGCAACTTATGTTAATAATAGTTTGTGCACTGTCTTGGGGTGTGTGTTGTGATAAAATGATTGCACATAAACTGTTGCACGTTTATAATATGTGTGGGGGGGAGATATTTACCTATCCTCCGCTCTCCATCCAGAGCCACTTGGCCATCTTGGATCTGACAGCCGGGCGGCTCTCTCTCCTCACTGCCCGGCATCCTGAAGTTTGTCATGTCTAGAAGAAAATGGGTAAACGTTTCTCAAGAGAGAAAAGACATCCATCCTCCAAGGTCAGTAGCAACAAACTGGAGCATGCTGGGATTGATGGTTATACCTGGATGTCCTACAGCTTTTTTGTTTGCCAGTGTTCAAATCCTTCTGCAGGTGGCCGTATAACCCAATCATATCAGAAGAACTGAATCATGTGTCCCTTAATGTCTTTATTAATGCCAACTAAAGCCAGCTACCAGCTAAATACAAATATATTTGTAGTCAGCACAGTGGCTTAGTGGTTAGCACTTATGTCTTAGTATTGGAAGTCCCCATTTTGAATCCTAGTCAGGACACTATCTGCAAGTTTTCACGTTCTCCGTGTGGGTTTCCTCTGTGTAGTCCGGTTTCCTCCCACATGCTGGAAGGTTTATTGGCTCCAGTCTAAACTGGCCCTGTATGCATGTGAGACCTTAGATTGTGCACGCTGTGTAAATTGTGAGCACTATATACTGTAAATACCTGTAATAAATATTTTCCAAAACCCCTGCAAAGTTTTATGACCAGAAAATGACATCACTCTTTAGAGCTTTCAGCTTTGCAGTTTCCTGTTTAATCTCCATGCCTCTAGCCTGCTCACCACAATAGTGACATTCTCCCTGTGCCTACACTTATTTTATAAACTTGCCAGAACACCTAATCTTCACAAAACTAGCCGATATAGCTTCTAGTGATTGTATCCCTGTGAAGACCCTTACATATTTTTTCTGATTTCTGGAATGCAGGGGGCATGGGAAATCAATATTAAAGCATAGCTAAACTCAAACTCAAAAATGTAATATATTTAAGCTTACCACTTCTTGGTGATCCTGCCAGTAACATACTTCCTGTCCTAGGGTGGCAATGTTCACTAACTTCTGTACTCATAAGCATTGTCCCTCAAGGCTACTCTCCTGATCTGGAGTACAAACATCTTCCCTCTTTTTGTCTACATTACATGGAAAGCAGGGTTTTTAAGTCTGTTGAAGTTAGCTGGGAAAACTGATAACATTGTTTGAGATTTCAGTACAGTACACAGGAAGTTAAAGGATACTAGATGTCTATCAGGATCAACAAGTATTTTCTGTACTTACAGAAAATGTACTTACCCTAGAAAAATAAAAACTAATGCAACCACCATATCTAATCATTAGTAAGCTGAAATATATATTATTTGTGTTCTTGGGTTTAGAAATACTTTAATATATTTTATTTTACTGATGGTATTAGAAATACA